AAGTACCTGCAGTGAAAGAACCACAACAAATTAACTTTTTTTTTTCCCCCCCTCCCCCTCACCATCCTGCGCTCAGTTCTTTCCACTCCTTCCTACCCTCTGGTTTTCCCTGGGCCGGGTGAGTCACGCTTTCCAGTCCCGCCTGCCCTCTTTCTCTGCCTGCATCAGCTTCTCTCAGGGAATTGTCACTTGCCACTGGCAAGGCAGCTATTTCTGTCTTCGGCTGCATCTTCCTTCTAATGGTTTTTTTCTCTTTCTGCTCCACCTTTGTATTTTTTTTTCCCATGTATTTGTATCATTATTATTTGCTTCTGATGTGTCTCAGTTTTGCCTTTACTTTGGTAAGTAAAAATAGAAAAAAAAAATCCCCTTATGGAAAAAAGAGACCATCTTAAAAATCCAATGAAAAAAATTCAAGAGCTCCAGTAACAAGCGGGTATCACAATTATTTTACATTGCTGTAAAATGTGTCCACTAGATGTGTATCTTCTGATCTCAACAATTTCGTATCTGCTGTTTGAAATGTAGGTTCTGTACGCCAACAAATTTCTTCCCGATGTCCTGTTGTTGCCATTCTTCCATGCCCCAAATATTGCTGCAAGTAGATATTTTGGTTTCTGGCTAAAGTCGTGACTTTTTACCCTGCCCTGCCACACGTCCGCTCTCTGGCCGTGGCGTTGTTACTCTGCCCTTCTGTGCCTCGGTTTGTTTCTTGCCCTCTGGGGCTGCAGCCTCCCCTCTTTGCACAGAGAGACCTTGGCACCGTGTGGAGGCACCCAGAGGCTTCCCAGGTCCCCGGCGAGAGCACGCTTTGCTCCGCAGTAGCCGCAGGAGTGAGGGTCCGGCCGGGGCACTGCCCTGCCATGCGTCAGACAAAACTGAGGGCACCGCGGGCCTTCGGCGGGCAAACAATCAAATACCAGCCCCGGCTGGAACAAACCGCCCTTATTTCAAAGAAAACATTGAGCCCATCGAGATCATCAGTTGAACATGTTCCAGTGATATAATACATCTGCGAACAGGAAGATGGAGCCCACGCAGCGTTTCCTGCCTGCGGGGCGGGGGGGAAGGTTTCAAAATGATCACCTTTGGGAAGGAGATGTTCTCTCCTACCTCCTTCCTGTAGCTTGCTGAGGCGGGGCGAGGGTGGGGGTAAAGTCTGAGGGGGTTTTGTTTGTTTAACTT